GATAAAGGGATCGGCTTGGATTCAGTATAATGTGTGCGGAATGCATGTTGAACTGATCCATGGCGTCTCTGTAGGCTACCACTATAAGTCCTGACTGGTACAAGCAACCATACGCATTCTTAAAGGGGCACTGATCTAACGCATTTCCCCGGACTGGTTGTTGCCTTTGTTATTGTTTTTTTTTCCCGTGAGTACCCGGATGATACGCAACGCAACTGAGCGTGACCAGAGACTGGGCTACCGTCTGCAAGGACAGCTAAATAAACTTGGAGGCTGGAGGCAATATTTGTTTTACGCATTTTTGCATAAACACTGATTGGTTAACTGTGATCTATAAAGATTTCGACAAAGGGCGCATCTTAATTAATTTCTCCAGCCTAAACAAACAGACAAAAGGAACGACGGAGCTCATCGGATGTCGTCATTTGGAAATACCCGAGATGGTTATAGTTTAATACTAAAAAAAGTATCCATGCAGTGAAAGCATTTTCGGATTTCCGATTGCGTCGATAATACGATTACTACTCCCTTGTTGTCATCCACGTTTTCTCGTATAACCCTATACTTGTGTATTTGTCGTCATTCACTTGTTGCTCAGTTAATGAATTTATTACAGGTACAATTAGTGGTAGCACCACTTAGATTACCTGACAAAGGTCCCCATTTGGCATTTATTGTGACTGGGGTAATTATTCAATCTAAATCCAGGTTTGAAGTGAGATGAAATGTATGTTATGTAATATGCACGTGGCAGCCCAGCAAGAGATGAATGATCAGTTGATTTACTTTTTTTTGTAAATCAACCGATCGTCCCTAATCATCAAAGGATTAAGAGAAAATACGTTGATTGATTAATCACTGTTATCTTGCGCAGTGGATATGTCAAAAGTGAGTGTTTACATGTCTAGGTTTACTAAAACAAAGGGAATACACTCACATCATGGCGTGAAGTGCCGATGTAAAAACAACATACTTTGTTCAAAGGGTTAACTGATAATACGTTGATTGATTGCTCATTGTTATCTATCACTCTATGGATTTTTTAGGAACCGTGGACGTTATGAAAATAGTTGTCACGTGGGCTTTCTCAGCCGACCCTTGAGACTTGACACCTATGTGAAACACCTGAAACAATCTAAGTGATCAGTTGAGAAATCGAACACGGGTTATAATATCCCGAAACGATATATATCTTTTAAAATATTTGATTGTTACAGAGACACGTGACATCGAATATGTTTCTTTGTACAGCTGCAGACGAGTGGGATATTGTTCCTTTGTGTGCATGGATATTCACGGATACATTCCTCGAACAAGGAAGTTGCCTAAAATTTATACACATAAATTTGGTAGGTTGTAATTATGGTATTTGCATTTTGTTTTCCTTCATTTGAACCGATTCGTTCTTGTTCTTCTACATCTTGGTTGGGAAATTCTTCAATGCGCGATAGACGTTGTTTTCACAAGTCTTTTCCTTTGTAAGCGTGTATATATTACCGTCAATTTGTAAAATCTGATTCTCTCAGGCAATTTATGAAATGTGTAAATATTTCAGGCATTTTGACTGAAAAATCTGTCCAGATTGACTAAAATTGATTAAGCAACAACATAGAAATGTACTTTTCAACGTAACATTTTCAGTCTCTTGGTGATGACATTAAACATCAAAATGTTTGGAATTCGTTATCATAATAATACAGATGGAAATGTTTTTCAGTCACTTTGTAAAATAACTGAATATTTAGACGTTTAATAAATTTGTTACACATTTTGACAGTAAAAAAATATACACACTATAAAAAAAAGCAATGCTCAGGTGAAATATTTACTTTGTGTTGCAAGTCGAAATAGTGTAAACAAAAATCGCAAAATTACCAAGCAAGTGACTTATTAAAACTTCGTCACCATTACCGATGCTACCCACAAAGATACCTACATTTCCTTATTATCTCGAAAACTGTATTTAATTTTGTCGATCAATGTGACCATACGCCCTTATTACTACCCATTGACTAATGCGCTTACGAATAGCGCAGCAGAGGTCGCGAACTAGTCTAGATTTCTGCTATACATCCGGGTACTCACTGGGAAAAAACAATAACAAAGGCAACAACCAGTCCCGGTGAATTGCGTTAGATCAGTGCCCCTTTAAAGGCGACGTCATTACCCCTTTGTACCTGACCTCAAACCCATCTTGTTTATCAGCAAACTATAACCTTATGAATAAAACCAATTCAGCATCCAGACTCCTTCAAAACAGATGTTCGATGTCTCAGCTACACACGTGGGATTAATAACAACGTATGCAGATCTTGCCTAGAGTCAGGTGTGGGTCACGAGCATAGTCTCTCCCAAGTGCCCGAGATTCTCGCGAACCAGAAATCATTTTTAAAACAGAAGTGAAGACATTTAACAGTTTTTGTTTATTCGTTTATTAAAATGAAAACATTTCATAACAAATGACGGTTTCATCAAATACATGATCATCAAATGAATGATAACTGCAGTTCGGCGAAAGAAAAGAATACATCCTATACAACACGAATACAATAATATTTAACATGACAACAATATTATCTTTATACACTGACACACGAGTGGTGAGATCATAAATACTTGCGAATGCCGATATATCAATACTGGAATCAGTAATACACTGCACATTAATACTTACAAGACAATCAACAACAAGCCAGTGTTAACGCCGAGGAACATCACATTGGACTTTGGGGTGGTTGCTGGCCCAGTGGTTAAAGCGTTCGCTTGTGACGCCGAAGGCCCGGGTTCGACATAGGTAAATTATGTGAAGCCTATTTCTGGTGTCTTATGCCGTGATATAGCTAGAAACACCGCTAAAAGGGTCCTAAAACTCGTCTCACTCACTCATCCATATTGAACGGTATAACTTTTTTAATTTACAAACACTCCACATGATCTGTTAAAGATAGCAGCTTAGTTCCAGGAGGTTTTAGGTGGATTGAGAGTACTGATTATTTTATGTCATGAAAAAATAATATTATTAAAATAATCAGTAAATCAGCAAAACATAGTTATAGATATTTCATCATTTCACATTAGTAGAAATTTGCCCAAAGAAAATCTGGCATAATTATTAATGTTCGACACAATTTGAACAAACATACTATTAGGCCAGAAGCTCTGTAGCTCTATAAATTATATCTAAAATATTTGCAACCTTAAAGATTAACTTGATATAATGGGTAAAATATACGCATATGTGATAAGTCAATATTCTTAAATGCTTAAGCATAATCATTGCATAGTAAAATACCTATCGCTGAAAATTATGTTTTCAATTGTTAGTTACATAACAAAGTCACATAAAAGTAAAAGATCATTACTTATCAATCAAAACCTTCGTAGACAGTAAAACACATATGTTACCACATCATACTTAAATTTCACAATGATACAGAATTGATTGGGTATATGATATTTATCAAATTACCGGAGCTCCATGTAGGCTGTGTATTTGCTTAAAATACTACTAAATCACCATAACCCATTACTGGTTCAGTAGATTGCGAAAATATACGCCAAAAAAATCAATAACCCAATAGTATGTACTATCGTAGTAGTACATTACCAAATGTAGCTTCTTAAGCTTGCTCATAAAAGACCCTTTCCATATTCATTGGAAATCTCTGCATAAAGCAGAGTCGATTGTACGATTCCGACTATATCATGAGTATTTGTTTAGGAATTGCTAGATGCGATACCAGGTGTTCGCGAAAAGTGTAGGCGTACCCTGACCCACCGGTGGCACCCGTGACTAACACATGCCTTTACAAGTCTTTACTTAACACATGCCTTTACAAGTCTTTACTTAACACATGCCTTTACAAGTCTTTACTTAACACATGTCTTTACATATCTTTACTTAACACATGTCTTTACAAGTCTTTACTTAACACGTCTTTACAAGTCTTTACTTAACACATGTCTTTACAAGTCTTTACTTAACACATGTCTTTACAAGTCTTTACTTTACACATGCCTTTACAAGTCTTTACTTAACACATGTCTTTACAAGTCTTTACTTAACACATGTCTTTACAAGTCTTTACTTAACACATGTCTTTACAAGTCTTTACTTAACACATGCCTTTACAAGTCTTTACTTAACACATGTCTTTACAAGTCTTTACTTAACACATGCCTTTACAAGTCTTTACTTAACACATGTATTTACATATCTTAACTTAACACATGTCTTTACAAGTCTTTACTTAACACATGCCTTTACAAGTCTTTACTTAACACATGTATTTACAAGTCTTTACTTAACACATGTCTTTACAAGTCTTTACTTAACACATGCCTTTACAAGTCTTTACTTAACACATGTCTTTACAAGTCTTTACTTAACACATGTATTTACAAGTCTTTACTTAACACATGCCTTTACAAGTCTTTACTTAACACATGTCTTTACAAGTCTTCACATGTCTTTACTTACTGACTGAATGTAGGCATCCCGTATTCTTCATCTTTGCTGCTGTGAATAATGCACAGATGTGCTACATCTCGCATAGTTTAACTTAGACATGTATCACGGTCACGAGGTTATGCGAGATTTGACACATTTGAGCAGCACACAAACAGATGCAAATTCGAAGTCACCTTAAACTGCACAGAAGTAGAATTGTTTTAAAAGATAATCTATTAAGGTTTACAAACACGAATGGATTCGACCAAAAAGTGCAAAACTACATTGAAATACATAGACAACTATCAGTACCTTACGTGAATGATGACATGTCAGTAAATACTCAATGGTTCAAATCGTTTTCTGGACCCCTGAACTGACATTTTCAAACTGGCACGTTTATATTTGATTGTTTGTTTGTTTGTTGTTTTAACGCTGCACTCAGCAATATTCCAGCTGTATGACGACAGTCTGTAAATAATCGAGTCTGGACGAGACAATCCAGTGATTCACATCTTGAGCATCGATCCACGCAATTGGGATACGATGACATGCATAAACCAAGTCAGCGAGTCTGACCACCCGATCTCGTCAGTCGCCTCTTACAATAAGCCTTTTATAGCAAGCATTGGTTGCTGAAGACCTATTCTACCCCGGATCTTCACGGGTCTATAAAATAAGAAAAGAAATCAATTTACACGAATTATTGCACTAATCCACACACAGAGAAACATAAACATTGACAAATGAATACCTATAGAGGAGCACACCCAGGTCAAAGGTTGAAGTTGTGCCCAATACCACAACACACAACAGTTTGTAACAAGTGTTATTATGCATACCACAAATCATATTTCCATTAAGGTATATAAAGAAATGGCCGCCATGTTCAAACTAACATATGAATTCTTTGAGCACTTGTTCGAGACACAACAGCATGGACACAGACGTACAACTTCATAAGCCCAGAGATGTCGCAAATGCAGTACGACACAATGAACTTGGATAAGTGAAGGTCAAAGGTCGAAGCAGGAGAGAAATCAAAACAAAATAGTAATTCTCCATACCACATATTCACTACATAAGGAATCTTAAAGTCCTTCATGCAAGAATGGCTGTAGCAAGTAAATCGCGGAGTCTCCTTAACCTAGCACGTAAATCAAGGAATTTATCCTACCTATCAAGTAAATCAGGAAATTTACTTTACCTAGTACGTAAATCACAGAATTATCCTACTTAACAAATATATCAGGGAATTTACTTTACCTATCAAGTATATCAGGGAATTTACTTTACCTATCAAGTAAATCACGGAATTTATCCTAATTAATAACTATATCAGGGAATTTACTATTCTTATCAAGTATATCAGGAAATTTACAATACCTATCAAGTAAATCATTGAATCTACTTTACCTTGCACGTAAATCATGGATTTTATCCTATCTACTTAGCAAATCACGGAATTGACTTTACCTACCAAGCAAATCAAGGAATTTATTTACCTACCAAGTATATCAGGGAATTTACTTTACCTAGTAAGTAAATCACGGTACTTACTTTACCTATCAAGTGAATCACGGAATGTATCTATCAACTAAATTAAAAGGCTTACCTTCAAGTAAAGAAATGCATTCTACCGATCAGAAAAATAATAGTATTTACCATGATAAATTCTATCTGTTGATGCTTATTTGGTGTGTTAATATCTGAGAGTACATTCTGATTGGGCAGTTACGCGTCAACGTTAGTGCTGAACATATGATAGGCAATGTGTATTGCAATGTACAGTGTGGTTCTGGGGGATTGTTATTCATATAAGATTCTTAAATGGCGAGACTTTGTGACTTGGGTTTTCTTTGGCAGATGATGGTGCGGGCGAGATGAACAGAACCTTTGCGAAGAAGCATTGCCTGTCTACAGTACACGTGAAACTGCAACTGAAGCCTTATGTCTCATAACTACACATTGTAAATCATTGAATTGCGTATCGGTAAAATAGATTTACTCACAAGAACATTGAAGCAAATCATATATGACCCCGGCATTTTTGGATTTCGTGAACACATGTCGCCTCTCAGCTTAACTGTATTGAGAGGATCTTGGCAACGCGAGTGAGTGAGTGAGTGAGTTGAGTTTGAAGCCGCTCTGAACAGTATTCTGCCTATCAGGTGAGGTGAAATGGGGTTTAACTTCGCGTCCAAGATTACTGCACTTATAAAACGACGTACATGCACGTGTGCGTGCGTGCGTGCGTGCGTGCGTGCGTGCGCGACGAATGCCGATTTAATGTGCTAGCCCACTCCTATCGAGACGTTTTCTGCCTGTTATGCAACTATCATGGACTGCAGCAGTCCCAACTGTTTAAACCAAGTTAATAGCCGGAGTGGCTAAGCCAATAGCTGGAGACCAAATTAAAGACCACCCCTTCTTCAGCCAGGTGACATTTGATATTCTGGGAAGGGTGGGGTGTGGTGCTGTAATTTTGTTTCGAGATTTGAACAAAACCAAATATTGTACATTGAAAAATAGGAGTCTGAATATGTTTTTGAGAATATTATTTTTCACAGTCTGAAGCATAACTATTTTTTCAAGAATCTTCGGGGACAATTATTGTTTTTGATAAAATCCCAGTCTCCAATGGTTAATCCTTACATGGTATACATTTTGGGTCTCTAACGACTCCAAATCGGTTTAAGGTTTAACGCTGTGTGCTGTATTATATTGTACAAATGAGCATTTTATGTGGCAAGAACCTGAGCACAATTCGCCTCATTTTGGGATTAGATATATGTTCTTAAATCATATACTCGTACATTAGACGCCGGTGGTTGTATGTGTATACTCAAATGAAAAAGTAATCGGATCATATGAATATATTCGTAACAAACACTATGATAATTATGGACAATATATACTACTCAAAAGAAGTTAAAGAACACCGATTCCTTTATATACTATAGTAATCATAGTTTACCATGTCAGATTAACATTAGCAAAACCAGAAGGAAAAGCAGCAAAACTTTCCACACAGAAACCAAATTTGGTTAAATAAAGAAGGATTGGGCGTCAACCGCGACCTCAATTAAACACCAGCACACTTTATCAATAAGATAGGTGTGCTGAGTTCTGTGCATCGAAGAATGTGTGAGTGAGTAAGTTGGGTTTAACGCCGCTTTTAACAGTATTCCAGGGGGGGGGGGGGCGTGGTGAGCAAAAGATGTAAGACATCACAGTATGATAAAAAGAACCCGATCACAGTTAGCATCCGAGTAAACTTATAGTTAATTTAATTTAAATTATTTCTAGACTGTAAAACGGACCACCCTGCATCCCTCACAGTGATAAGCCATTACTGGACAAGTTGTTACTCAATATACGTATAACACAAGAATTCTTAAATATATCAGAGATAAAATAAATCACCATGTAACCACGGTTACAATATCCGCAATTAAGAATCCCTGAAGACAACATTTCAAAACTGATGACAAATAGTTTGGTCCTGCAGAAGGTGCACTGCAAATCTGCTCGCATATGGCGAATACTTAAAAAGAAGCGCATTACGCTGCAAGGAGTGACCGAATAGACTAGATGCACTCAGAACACACATCTATCCCTCGTGGCTGAGCAGAAACTTCACACTGCGCATATTAAACAGTTACACAACATGGCTCTTCCTGCTGGAGTTTCTTGAGCTCAACCTTCCCGGTAAGGAGCTTCGGCCGCTATCGCTGACGGGTACCGAAACTTCTGATGTAAAGTTCAATGAACCAGTGTCGGTGTCCATCCCTTGGAAAGCATAAGCTCCACACTGCGCGTTTTCTTTCTCCAACAGTGTCTTGTCCTTATCTGGTGAAGGCTCTTCCCATGTCCATTCTCGATAGCTCCTGTACAACGTCAGGCCGCATTGCGAGGCCAGTGCTATTGTGAGGAGCCAGCTTGAAGCCTGAAAATCAGCAACGAATTGAAATATGATTATTTAATGTTAAACACTCATAAATCATCACATGTTTAGTGATTCCTATGTGTACATGAGCATGCCTAATTAATCAGCAAATAATTATTTTTTAATATATATGCTTTCAAAGGGACGGTGTGGTAGCCCAGTGCATAAAGCGTTCACTCAAAAGCATAAGTTTGATTTTCCACATTTGATTGCATCCGCCGTTTTATGGTTGATGCTGAAGGTATCTGCAATCATATTCATTCGTTCGTTCGTTCGTTTTCGTTCGTTTTCCTTCCTTTCTTTCTTCCTTCCTTCATTCACAAATCCTTTAGATAGAACAGTACGGTACCAGAGCCACGTCCGTCGTAACTTACCATTAGGTAGACTGTGAATATAATTACCAATATAACGCTATTAAACGAACTTTCACTTTATAATGTTTCAAGTTTGCTTTTAAATGATATCCGAATAGTTTTAACAAGTAGCCACGTGTTGAAACAGTTGAAAAAGTCAATGAGGAAAGCCACCTAATAATTTTGAAGAAACTATGGCTGCTATGGCGGCCATATTGAAAATTGGATTCGAACATCTTGAACAGATTGGAGTGTCATCATTGGTTGGAATAAGCACGTGACATTTCAGCTTCATTGTTCCAGTGGCTTCAAAGGAGTAGTTGTTTACGACGCACGACGGTCAAACCAAATCGAATGGATCATTTGTGTTTTATCTTAAAGATTTGTTTGTTTGTTTGTTGTTTAACGCCGCTCTCAGCAATATCACAGCTATATGAAGGCGGTCTGTAAATAATAGAGACTAGACCAGACAATCAAGTGATTGACATCATGAGCATCGATCCACGCAATTGGGATACGATGACATGCATCAACCAAGTCAGCGAGCCTGACCAACCGATCCCGTTAGTCGCCTCTTACGACAAGCACAGTCGCCTTTCGCGACAAGCATGGATTGCTGAAGACCTATTCTACCCCGGATCTTCGAGGGTCTTATTTTAATAAACATATCGAAAACACATAAACATAAACGATTGAATGATTATGTTTTTACGCCGTTTTTAGCATTATTCCAGCAATATAACAGCGGGGGACAGAAAAAATTGGCTTTACACACTGTACCCATGTTGGGAATCGAACCCGGCCTTCGACGCCGAACGAACGCTTTAAGCACTAGGCTACCCTACGGCCCCTAACAACAGTACAGGTCCAGAAATGAATAGACACAAATAGAGTGAGTGAGTGAGTGAGTTGGGTTTAACGCCGCTTTTAACATTATTCCAGTTATATCGCGGCGTGTCAGCTTTATGTGGGAGGAAAGCCCGAAGTGATGCAGGTCTCACTTCGGTGAAACCCACGAGCACTGGTATGGTGCTGACAAACCCAGAAACATAATCGGGGTGAACCGGGATTCGAACCCACAATCATAGGTTTCTGGCGTGCCCAAGGGACGCAACTCTGCACAGCGAATCGCGGCGCCTTAGACGACTGGGCCACCCGTGCCCCCAGACACAAATAGAAACAGCATATAGCACGAGAACGTGATCCGCGAGTGTAGCTACTCCGTGTCATGCAACATATTATCAATGTCAGCCTGAGCCCATTCAGACTTGAATGTTATCTATCAATAGAAGTGAGATGGATAATAATATATGATTCATGATGTGGTTGTTACGGGACTAGTTTGTGGCGGCGTGTTCTATTAAACGCGACAGAGAACAGGACCAGGGGTTCATATTTTATGAGATTGCACCACTGTAGACAAAATTCGAATAGCTGATGCTAATGTAGGTGATGCTGGACAAACAATACCCTGCTACTTGCCATCAAATGCTTTCAACCCATGTTTTATTGAACACGGCTTTAAAACAAAACACCATAAAAAAAGATGGGGCTTTCACAAAAGCTTGGCAATGTCACCGTGCACTTGGGATCGACCTACAGGCATGACCCTTGGTTGCTGGTAACTGCACTTGCTGTAGTAGCGTAGTATTGAGGTGATGTGAGGTGAAATGGGGTTTAACGTCGCGTCCAAGATTATTGCACTTATATAGCGACGTGTATGCACGTGTGTGTGTGAGTGCGTGTGGCTGGCTAGCTCACTGAGATAACATGCCACAGTTTAACATGAATACTCCACGCAGACACAGTATACTGACTCCGAGCTGACCAGTCCTTGTTTAAGCCCCTTAAAGCCAAGCGCCAGACAGGGTAACAACAAGTACCATATTTTAACGTCTTTTGGTATGATGCGGCCGGGGATCGAACCCCGGACCTTCCGCTCTCCGGGTGGACGCTCTACCAATAGACCAATATTATAGGTGGTCCATAGTATTGAGAGGGAACGGGAAAATATTCCAAAGGTACCTGATATCATGGCGAGGGACCCATTAATATATTTTTTACCATTGCAGATAGAAGCTTCTGTACAATCACATGCAGTGGTTATAATATGAAGAATCCCGATAACATGCAATCGGACTTCAATTTTAACCATCCGATCCCCTTTAGTGGATTCTTACGACAAGCATGGGACACCTTTACTACCTCGGATCTCCTATGTTGAGTGAAAAAGGCAATCTCATTCAAATCAGATCTGAGTTCTCGCTGCCGCTAAAGCTTTGTATAGCTGTAGCGAGAACTTAGATCTGATTTTAATGAGATTGGTACAAAAAGCGGTCCGTATTTTTTTCTGTGTTTCCCATCTCCCGCCCGCCGTGAATGTTCACAGACAGTCGTCTTATCTCAATTTTCACCGGCGCTGTGAATATTTCCTCCCGATGTGATAAAAAACATACCCCTACCATTGCACATTCATGAAAACCCAGGACAGCTTGATCTTTCTTCAGCTATATTAATTTTTAAAAATCGATTCGTAAGCAAAGGGACTCGATCTACATCATAATTTAATTTAAAGACTATTGCCAAGTGTTTCAAACTTTAAAATATCATAAAAGATATTACTCAATTAGTGAAAAACATGTTGTTGCTGTTTTGTTTGTTTGTTTGTTTGTTTGTTGTTGAGGTTGGAGATGAGAAACGCCTACAAAATATGGACGGGCTAAGGGTCTAGAAAATTAAAACGGACGTCAACCATCACTTTTGCTTTTCAGCTTACGTGTCACTTCTCTCTACAAAATGTTGAAGACGTATGAAAATAAGAAGCAGTAAAAAAACGAATATTGGTACGCAATGTCAGTAAACCTTTACTACACCAGCTCATAGACACATCATTTAGTGGCGAAATGACTATATTCACTTGGGCAGCCAGTAGTTTCAATCCCAAGAATCAATAAATGTTAGATTTATGCACTCTGCTTTGTGCAAGTCCGTAATAATTCTTCTGAGGGGGGTACTTATCTATACAGCATAAAGGGGCTGACGTTACGTGATGAAACTCGATCGGGATATTGGCGGCAGTTGTTTTTATGTGTTTTCCATCGGCCGACCGATCCCATACTGACTCAAACTCGAAAATTTCACCGCTTAGGCAACAGTAAATTGATTATTTATTTTTCGGATCATTTCTCAGAAAGGGGAGTTTTTGAAATGGTAGTTATTGTGTTAAAAAAACAACTGTCTTGGCAAAGTTTACGTAATAAACTGATGGTTTATTGGTCCAGATTCCAGTGTTTCCTTGAGACTATTTATTACTGTCCGACATTTTTTTAATCCAGTCCGTTTTGCTTAGCTAGATAATTACGTTCCTATCAGTTTTCGAAGAGCAAACATTTAATTTATATTTGCCTAAGAAAGGACAAGCAAGCCAGGTCCTATTGATAATGCCTGCTCATCCAACCTATACGTCACATTTAGCGATGAGAAAATAAAATGTTTATCTTGTTTTGTTTGTTGTTTAACGTCGGGATATTCCAGCTGAATGACATCAGATGTAAATAAAAGAGTCTCGACCAGACGAACCAGTGATTGAGATAATGAGCACATCCACGGGTATGATGATACGTCACCTGATTCATCAGTCGCCTCTTACGACCTGGGTCCACTTGCACAAAGCTCTCTTAGCGCTACGACTATCGTAAGTCAATGTTATATGCGAGTTACGATCGTCGTAGCGCGACCGTCCCTTTGTGCAAGTGGGTCCAGATTCACAAGGCGATCGTAGCTCTACGGCTATCGTAATGTCTATACTTTAACATAAACTTACGATAGCGCTACGGTTGCTTTGTGAAACGGGGCCTAACATAAGTAGCATGGGGGACCAATTCTAACACGGACTGGCTAAGGGGTTAAGAATGAAAATGAAAACAGTTAGGTAAGCTCATCAAGTGTTATCATCCAGACCGTTGAATATTTATTTAACTGGATTTGTTTCTGCCCGTGAGTGCCTAAAGTGAAAGAACTTATCGCAAACCTCCGAAAGTAAAACCGTCATAAAGCCAACAAATAATGTCATCGTGGAATCAGACAGTCGACATGGAAACCATACATTAAAACACTTGAAATATACATGTGACACGACTACCTTGACTGACCCATGTACATCGTATAAGACCCGTGTAGATTCGGGGTAGAATAGGTCTTCAGCAACCCATGCTTGCCGTAAATGGCGGCTATGCTTGTCGTAAGAGGTGACTGACGGGATCGGGTGGTCAGGCTCGCTGACTTTCTTGATGCATGTCATCGTATCCCAATTGCGTGAATCGATGCTCATGTCAATCACTGGATTGTCTGGTCCAGACTCGATTATCTACAGACCGCCGCCATATAGCTGTAATATTGCTGAGTGCGGCGTTAATCAACAAACACACATCGAATGATAATAAAATGACCTTCGAAACAACTTTTTTACATTAAAACGAAATGTCACCGCATTATATCAAAATATCAATTTTTGCACCTGTAGCCTTAAGAAATCCCATTTGATCCCGATATAGTAACAGAAGCATTCAGAACAAATTGCAGGGATTCTCGAAGAAGTACACAATACTTACCTCTGCTACCTGGTAAAACGTGTAGAAACTTTGCGTCCCATGAAAGAGTGCCCAGTGCATATTCTGCAGGTCAGTACACGTGTACCTGCAAACAGTTCATTACATTACACACACGTCGGCCTATAGCGTACATTTTAACTGAGGCGAGTAATGATATTGATATGTTATATGTTTTCATGATTAATGTTGTTTGTTTGTTGTTTAACGCCGCACTCCGCAATATTCCAGCTATATCACGGGGGTCTGTAAATAATTGTCTAGGCCAGAGAATTCTGCTATGTCACGGGAGTCTGTAACCAGATAAACCAGTGATTTATATTATGAACATCGATCTACACAATTGGGATTCGATGATGCATCAACCAAGTCAGCGAGCCTGACCACCCGCTCCCGTTAGTCGCCTTTTACCACAAGCGCAGCCGGTTTTTACAAGCATGGGTTGCTGACGACCTATTCACGGGTTCATGATCAATGATTCATTGATAACTGGACACGTATTTGCTAATGTCTTGTTTTAACGCCTCTAGAACCAGATATTCTCAAATCAAAACAAGTATATAATTTCCGAAATTTCGTAAAAAGGAGATTTAACACTGAAATAACAACACCCGTCTTTGGGTTTGCAAGATTTCAGCAATAAGCATACAAACAAATGAACACTGCTATTGTAAATACGTGTCTTTGTTGTTTGTTGTTTTACGCCGCAATGTTCCAGTTATCACAGCTGTCCGTGACAAGCAACAGGGTGACCTATCTGAGGATCTACTGGTCGAACACGTGATCAGGATACAAAATATTGATTTCGTTCTCAAATACTCAACAGAAACCTCACAAATGTAACTCGCCAACGTGTATACGTACTTGTTTTGAATGTTCTTCTCCAGAGTGTGGCACCAACCGTTAAAACCTTTGGTGAGAATAGAGCTGGAGACTGCCATACACACAAACAGGATACCATGGAGGACCAGCACAGGTAACATTAGGTAGGAGTCCTGTCTGTAACAGAAAACATTCACGTCACATGACCATACACACAGCACGGGTAACGTTAGGTTGGAGTCCTGTCTGTAACAGAAAACATTCACGTCACACATCACACACACACAGCACAGGTAACATAAGGTAGGGGCCCTGTCTGTAACAGAAAACATTCACGTCACACCACCACACACACAGCACAGGTAACATTAGGTAGGGGCCCTGTCTGTAACAGAAAACATTCACGTCACACCACCACACACACAACACAGGTAACATTAGGTAGGAGTCCTGTCTGTAACAGAAAACATTCACACAAACCCGACATGATGGAGGACCAGCAAAGACTAGATAGGGGCCCTGTCTGTAACAGACAACATTCACGGACAAATGGAGGCACAGGTAGCAACATAGTATCTATATCCGTAACAGACACACACTGGTTGCCATGGAGGACATACAACATCAGTTACGATTCCGGACAGAAATAGAAAAAAACCACTCATACCACATCAACATAAAAACAACTTAAACTGGTGGTTTGGGGGAGATACCAACATGAGACATACGCACTCTGAAGGTTTGAAACAACATTACGTCACACCGTCATACATTCATTAACAAACAAGGTAAAGAGATGGGCACATAAAGTCCCAGCAGTATCCTTGGTTAGTGAAGGTCAAGGTCACCTTGCAGTTGGCCACAGAAAACACTGTCTACCTTAAAGAAATGGTTCTGAAAAGAAATTCGACCCATTTATACATTATGGTTTTGTCATTGGTTTTAACTTAACATGTATACTACTCCAAATAAGTTAAAGAACACTCCCAAAATGGAAGGCTGTGGGTTGCAATACCCACCAGTCATGGCAGATGAACAAAAGAAATCTAGTGTTCTTGATCTTTTGAGTAGTATGTATCACCGTGCAGTAAGGACGTTTGTGTACATATAGTATATAAAACATCTGCAGCAGCAACCGTCACATCTTTTTATACGAACAGTTCGGTTTGGCTGACCTCAACCAAGCATGACATCTTGTTAAGTATTTAGTGCACGTGTCCACTATATATACCGATGGAAACGAATAAGGGAAAATTGAAAAAAATAGGAAATAAGCTTTACTGTCAGTACATTTGAAATAGTGCGCATGCAAATCCAACACGTCAGAATCAAATATTGAGATGTGTTTGTGTGCATTGTTTCCAGCGCGTATTTGGATGACAAGGATGGGAACCCACGATCATTTTACTGTGTCTAAAACGAAGTGTTCCCTTATTAATTTCCATCTTTATATTATGTTGTTAGTTGTTAATGCCGCACTAATCTTATTCCAGCTATATGACAGCGGTCTGTAAATAATCGAGTCTGGACTAGGCAACCCAATGATTGACATCATGAGCATCGATCAACGCAATTGTATATATGCCTCTTATGCGTGGCATAATCCTGTGATATTTTTTGCTCTAATCCACGCTACGACGTGATTAGAATTCTTGGTTTGTTAGCAATATACACGTGCTGGTGATTTCCTCAAAGTGGTTAACGTCTTAGACCTACATCACTTACCTACGGCCTTACCTCCCACATCGAGGTGACTCGCCGTGATTAGGCACTACCATACCACATGCCGTCAGTACCCAACTCTTAACTCTTACTTCACTCTTAACATGTGTACATTTACTTTCAACTTGTTGACATCGTTTTACACTTTCAGGGTAATGGAGAATTGAGATTTGAAAATATAACGCTGCTTTCAACACCTGCACCAAATCGAGTCTCACTGAAACATAATTTATGCATCTAATGATTTGGTAGCACACTGTTTATATGAATACATAATGTGCATATATTATTCATTAGCCGATGGTCAATTTAGATTAGGATTGGATGAAAGGGTGTCTGAAAGTGCAACGTATTTATTATTCTGATAATTAGTGGACAAAACGTGTAATGTTGATAAATTGGAGGACAAATTGGTTTAGCCAACTAACAAATACACTGCGACTTTTATTCCATATCTTTAGGAAAGCTACATCACACCATGTAGCCTTCTTTATACCCCGTCCATAATTATACTAATCGTTATGCTAGTCTTTGCGATTGCAAAAGGTTATGCCAAAGTTCAAGGTATCGATCAATTCAGCGTGCATACATGATCTGAACATAACGTCATCACGCCAAGCGGTGGCACAGTGTGTTTGGAAAAGGAGTGTTGCACGTTGTGGTGCCAATTTAACGTATAAATGTTCCATGAATGCAAATAATGCGCGGGTCAAGTCGAGTCTGGAGTGAGTGGGTTGAGTTTAACGCCGCTTTTGACAGTATTCCAGTTATATCGCGGCGTGTCGGCTTTACGTGGGAGGAAAGCCCGAAGTGATGCAGGTCTCTGACGTTTACAACTTTGGTGAAACCCACGAGCACGAAAATGGTGCACCCACTTCAGGACTGTAAACATAATTGGTGCTTTCGGTCCATGATTATTTCTCTAAAGAAACACATTCGGTGATAGGAGAAACGGGTACTGAGTTGCGCCTCATAGTTGTAGCAGGATCCGCGGATCGTGGATTTCCCATTCTACGGCCTGCGTTACGGCTTTCTTTCTACATGAAGCTGACACGCTGTAACATAATTAAAATACTGACACACCCACACCCACCCCATACCCCACCCCCGAAGTATACAATTACCAACGTTACCAAAACGTTACTAGACTGAAAGCTGTCGCCGAAACACAAGAAACTTTAAAGCCAAAACACAACAATTATAACCGTATCAAATACATCACAATTGAATAACCATCTCTTGTTTGTTTCATGTTTAGCCACTATCAAACATGGGTGTATATATACTTTCTTTTGCCCGGGTGTTTACAAACTTATATAAACACAGTCAAGTGTGCGTGCGCATGTTGAGTTGTAGAAAGTACGGAGTTGTGAGTATTTTAGAAAAGAAGATCTTTGAATTTTCTAAAATGTATATTTTAAGAGTTAGTGTCTATAGGACAAAGCTTAGGCGTTTCGCTTAACGCACGGGTGCTTGGGAAAAGACGCTCCCCTAATTCCGGTAAAACTAGTCAATAACATTAATACATGATACTTATATGAATTTAAAAGGTCTGACAATATGAACTCCCGAATAATCATTAGCAGAGCTGATACTGGACACGGAAATCGATGTTTCTTCAATTCACCAATTTCAACGTCAGGTGTGAGGTGAGTCAAAAAGGGGTTTATCTTTGCGTCCAAGATTGCACTTATATTGCGACGTACGTGCGTGCGTACGTGTGGTAGTCCTGACTGGTGCCGACTTTTAATGCTAGCCAACTGAGATACCATGCCGCAATGTAACATGAATACCCCACTCAGACACAGTATACTGACTCTGAGCCGACCAGTCCTTGTTTTAGCCCCTTAATGCCGAGCGCCATGCAGACAGGGTATCAACAAGTATCAGCTGTTAACGTCTTTTTGGTATGACGCGGCCGGGGATCGAACCCCGGACCTTCCGTTCTCCTCAACGTCTGGATACGTTAATGCTCAATTGCTATACGTGAGGTTTATTTCTGCTCTTACATAGAAGTTTGATTAATGGGAATATTAGGCTGGTGGGTCATACAAGACAGGACATATTCATCACAGTCGGCCGAAAATCGGAATGTTAAAAAGTTATTGGAGAAAAGATATTTGGCTGCACTTCGTCCGACAACTGGCGTATACAGTACCAGCACTTTGTCATATCAATCCATCATTCCGTCAAACTCACCATCCCAAACTGCGTTTCAAATGATACACATCAGAGGAGTATGAACAAATGAATATTGCGAACAGTGATGATAATTCTATTCTAATGGCCGCTTGTCCCTGGAGGGCAATAGAACGCTAAACAATTCATCGGTAGCGTCGGCTGTCTGTACCCACCGCCGGGTAGGTACATCAGAGAACCATGGGTGCTGTTTCATTCCGTCATTTTAAACGTTAACGCCATCACAAAAGATAATTCATACTATGAATTATAAAATGATGAAATGAATCACTGTGAATGTATTGCAGTGCAACAACGCGTTGAGTTAATATTGTTTTAATCCGCATGCCAGTGTCTTGTTTGTTTGTTTATTTGCTGTTGAACGTCGCACTCAGCAATATTCCAGCTATATGATGACGGTCTGAAAATAATCGAGTCTGGACCAGACAATCTAGTGATTGACAGCATGAGTATCGACCCACGCAATTGGGATACGATGATAAGCATCAACCAAGTCAGTGAGCCTGACCACCCGATCCCGTTAGTCGCCTCTTACGACAAGCGTAGTACCCTTTTACGACAAAAGGATAAAATCGCGAAAAGGGTAAGCATGACATTATCCTGCCCAACCGGTTGCACGGGCCACTCACACAATTTGCATAAAAGGTAACCCATTCTTCCAAATGGAAGATAAGCAATATGTAATCAGGAAATATTTTGAAATGAGATTTAGTAAATTAATACAGAATCTAATCCGTTACTCTCATAAGAAAATAAAAATGGCTAATTTATTGACGAAAATATCCGAATTGATAAAATATTTTTTTTGTTTAGCAAAACCACGCATGTGCTATTCATCAGGCAAACATTCCTCATTAATGTTCTTGACAAAAGTTCCGCGCACATCTGTAGTGCTTAGCAAGAACTGGCTGGGTGTCGGATTTCAAGAATGTTCTCTGTTACTCGTGAAACCTATGAAATCGGATATGGGTATTGCTGCAAAAGCGTCTCTGCAGTCTGTATTTTCATAGCACAAAGCGGAATGTTGATATTTCCCGATTGCGATGCGAAGTATTTAAAAAATAAAATGTGCATTTTCACTACAACGAACGGGTCAGAAATTCCTAGCATTTTCTTCATGTGGCGCCGTCACCATGCACAATTACTGCCCTGTTATAGACAGTGAAAGTATAGTAACGCGAAGAATATCAAGTCATGCGTTCTTCGAGTGAGTGAGTGAGTATGGTTTTACGCCGCTTTTAGCAATATTCCAGCAA